AATGGCAGGCGTTTTGATAGATATCATTAGCCATTTAGCTGACTTCGGGCTTCATAGAGGGAAGCTTAATCAAAGTAGAAGAAAGTCGAGGGGTGGGGAACAGAAGAGCGATTCACAGATGCAAAAGAGGCAGACAGACACAAAGATAGAGAAAAAGTAAGGTGAGTACTGTGAAAGGGGTCGAATATGACAACCAGGGGTTCGTGGTAGTTTGAAGTCAGAAGTCAAATGCCGTTTAATAGATTTTTTGCCGTATGAATGTACGTTGCCCAGGGTGCACCACGTGGAGGTAAGTCTATCGCACATCCCTCAATCTAATATAGATTAATGGAATGAATTGAGTTGATGAGAGTAAATCAGTTTATCCACTTCCTCATTTGTTGTGCAATTTTATCTTTCTGGATCAAAACCAACTGATTTATAAGCTATTTTTATGACTCGGCAGACACTGTTTCTAAGTCACTTTAGTTGTAGGTGTGCTAGGTTTATTAGGCACCTGGTTGCGTGAAAATTGAGGCACAGGGAATCCTGATCGGTAAACTTATGGTTGGGGAAATATTTCACTGCTGTGAGAACCACTCCACTGCTGTGGGCTATTATTCGTTCTCTCTCCATGTTATCAATGCAAAAAATTCTGATCAAAGCGTATGAGTACATTTTTATCTGAATAAATCTGATTCCACTTAAATAATACATTGTAAATTATTCAGTATTTTAGGCAATTATTCATTCTAATGCCTGAAATACAGACATAAACATAGGAATTGATGAAACAACTTGAAATTTTCCTGATTATAGTTTCTGAATACCCTCCTCTTTTCCACAAAGCTTAAGTCTCCCACTTAATCAATTTTAACGGTAAATGTCCTATTCATTCATCTAACATCATAAACTATGTCATTTTGTATCGTAATGACAAAGGTAATGCATTAAGAATATATGTTCCAGAATCTATTAGTTATTTGTTTTTCGGCATTGTCCTGTAAAATGTTCTTCTTCGTAGGATCATGTTTTGACTCATTCTTCAATCTCGAACTGTCAATCGGTTTCATCCATTTCCAGCAAGTGTATTCGGTGCTTTACAATCAAACATTACTAACTTGCTGCTGTCTCTCGCCCCTTGTTAGTTTCCAATAAAATTGTACGTCATCCATTCTGCTTAATCCTCTTTTAGAGGCCTCCTTAAGAGTGATTAAGCACTCAGAAACAAAGCTTACTTCGTAACCTTTTACCTGCCTCCTCCTCCTCTTAATAGAAGCTTCTTTTGCCTTAAAAAAACAACTGAATTAAGGATACGACAGTCGAGATAAGAGTTAGTATGTTATGCAGTGGTTTCCTCAACTTTTCAAATATATATGTATATAATATTTTAAAAAGTATCAAGACCTATCTTAAGGGAAGAAGGAATCGCTTATAATTTGAGGAAGTAGATTTTCCATTGCTAGCCACTTAGAAATCCTCAGCACATTAGTGATTTTTTCAAAAATTCTAACGAATATGTTATAATTTGATAAATATAGTCTCTAATTTGCAAAATCGTCGATTTATTATGCTTAGTTTTTGGCAGTGAAGCAATGCACTCATACTAGTTACATTCTTACTAGTTGACATGACCTTGAACGTAATCAAGACATTACAACTGTTGACGTCTTTTCGTGATCATCTTTCAACTAGTTCAAACTAGTTACGCATATTATATTTTTTACTGGTCGATAAAATCAGCGTTTAATGAATCTTCGACTTATTTTAAATAAGTAGAAAACTTTTTACCTAGTTGAGGTACTAAACGAATTACGTAGACGAGGCTAGTGAACTGAAAAAAAGACCTGATATAATGTCATTAAGAACATTGACAACTGCCGTTACTGCTGTGCTTCATTTATGAACAAATTAATCTCTCTTTTTAACTCTCCAGCAATTTCGTCATTCTTCCACATAAAAGTTATCATACTGAAGATCGTAAAATTCTCTGTTTGTATCAAATAGGTGTAAAATACGATACTTTTCAGAAAGTATTTCTACCAGTCTCTATTTTTTACCAGGGTGATGAAATTTCCACTTAAATACACTTAATCTCCCTGTTTAGGACTAACCTCTTTTGGCTTGACATCTTAAGCCAAGTCATCTTTGTAAAGGCCTTATTAATTTAGTTACATCTGAGTCAGCATAGGTTTTAATGAAAGCTTAGTAATAATAGGCAGAAAGTTAAGTGTACTAGCTCTCTATTTTTTCATTAAAGGCATGATGTACCATATGTGGAATACACAAAACTAATACGGCAGATCAAAGAACAATCAGAAAGGCATGATCGTGTTGATGATAGCGTAGGGATCAACTATTGTTGTGCTCGCAGAGACCTCTCCGTTCATCAGCAACCAACAGCCACTGCATTGTTGGCGTGCCTTCAATGATATTTCAATAACTAAGCTTTGAGGTAGCGTCGCACAATCAAAATAAACGCTATTCGTACAATACTCTCTGTTTTCCCAACATTATTAAGGAGCCTCAGCTAATTTGGGAGCGGATTTGCTAAACCAACTAGGAACCATTGATTAGCGGTTGGCTCGGTAGTCTCCGCGATCACGCCCTACACGAAGCAACACGGCCACACCTTCGAGGATGAGTGCGCATGAGATTCCTTTGCTCAGCGATGACAGCGTTATGCACTCCGCAGACCTCCAACTGGGACACCACTTTGACTAGGCAATACTTGGGCCCTGACTTGTGTTTTATGTATCAACAGTAAAAACAAGAAACGTATGCTAAAAGCGAATCAACATTTAGTGAATAAAAATTTTTGTACCAAAATCAGTTGCGACTCAAGTAAGGTTTAGCGCTCAGGAAACCAAGGAATTGAGCTAAAACTCTACTTACTTCTAAAGCCAGCTAAAGATAAAAACTTACAAGGTTCTATGTCCCATCGACAACTAATAGCATTTACAATTCCGACTACTACATGATTTATCATATCACGAAAAAACACCAGTAATAGATCGGAGGAACCAGAAACCCAAAGCAAAAGAAAGCAGCAGCTCCGAATCTAAAAAATTTGAAAATGCTCCATCCATTATATGCCAGAAACAAAGCAAAATAACCCAGTGTAAAAGCCAAGGATCCCAGCAATGATCCATCATGGGGCATAAACCGATTCAACACGACTTAAGGTAAGAAAATTACAACAAAAACAAATTTGCTTAAAGCAAAATTGCAAATTAAGTGAACATAAGCGGATGGAAGTAAATTGAGCTGCAGAAATAGCAAAATAAACTAGTCGGACTCTTCCTCGCTGCTGCTCGACTCCTCCGAGCTGTCGCTTTCTTCAGAACTCTCACTCGTCTCCTTTCCCTGTGCCTCAACTTTCTTTGGTTCATCAACAACTGTTGGCTTTGCCACTTCTTTCACTCTCTTGTCTTCCTCCTCAGATTCCGTTTCAGACTCTGTCTCAGTTTCTGACTCTTCACTCGAGTCCCCTTCAGTCTTCTTCTCAGGTGTCTTCTCCCTTGCCTTTGATTCCTCAATAACAGAATGAGACTTATTAGCACCCGCGGATTCATTGTTCTTTTCAGACTCTTCAGATGATGATGATTCAGTTTCACTTTCCTCCGAAGAACTCGACTCTGCTTTCTTTTCCTCCATTTTACTTTCCTTTTTCTCTTCATTCGATTTTAACTTAGACTCCTCAAGAGCAGCAGACTTCTCTTCACTTTCACTCTCCTCAGAAGATTCACTCTCCGACTCTGGTGCGCTCTCCTTTTCAATGCACTTCTTACCACCGTCCTTTTCACTATCCACCTTTGAGGGAGCCGATTCAATTTTCTCATCGCTTTCAGATTTTATCGTTTCTTCTTTGACTTCCTTCGTCTCTTCATCACTTCCTTTTGTACTCGATTCAGACTCTTCTTCTTCTTCCTCTTGAGACTCTTCCCCTGACTTTTCAGACCCACTTTCTTCTGTTTCATTTGAATCCTCCCCTTCCTTTTCATCTCCTTTATTCTCACAATGCTAGTAAGGTGAAATTGGTATGGCAAAAAGGGAACTTACCTCATCTTCACCCTCATTAATATCCGATTTCACTTTCTTATGTTTCTTTTTCTTTTTACCTTCTCCTTTCTAAAGGATAGTTATTATTGTAAAAAATACCTTAGTATCAGTAGATTCTATCGTTGCAGACTAGGAACATTAAATACCCCATCAGAAATGAATGTATTATGTGCATGCAAAAGTCACCGCCATGCAACATGCATCTGCATTCGCAGTTACCTCCGATTGTGTAATAATTTCATCAAATGTTTTCTTAAAACAAGTTAAATGAAGACAAAAAATAAATTACAGATTTAACTCCAGGGACCTTCAGAAAAGATTCAACATTTTCCATCTCTACGGATTCAAAAAAGTCATCGTAATTCTAAAACATTAGGCAATATCTTCAAATACCCCTATGTATTCTTCATCAAGGTAAATAATCGGTGGGATTAAATTAATGGCCTTTTCCTTCAATTCGTCTATTAATGCTTGTTTGACTTCAGCATTTCTAGGATCAGTAAGATCAATTTGTTCAAAATCAATTTTCCGAGTTGTCAAAATATTTGACAACATTGACTGGTTTTTTTTCACCTAGAGAATATTAAAAAAATATAGAATTTACGGATAGATTTCCCGATGAAGAAGAAACAAACACTTTGATCGTCATCCTCAACTCGAACAGTCAAAAGTTGATGCAAATGGCTAATGATGCAATTGACAAGTTTAAACATATAGCCTATTAGCAATAAACAGTATCATAATAGCTTTTATTTCTCACAATTGTATTAAATTATACTTATGATCACTCCAAAAACGCAATTCGTTTCCAAGTGGATAAAGAAATAACGCTTGTTTTATGAATTTGCAAAAGTAATCAAAATTATACCCTGTATATATTAGATTGGTTATATCATTTATCATCGCAAAAGCTATATCTTGCAAAAATAATTAACATCAACTTATGTCATTTATTGCGTATTAAATTTATGCCCAAAATATTAGAAAAAATTATGAAAAAATAAAATGAAAAATCGAGTCATCAAGACTTAAAATTTTTCAGCTTTTACTACAACATTTGAAGTTAAATACAAAGTTATATATTTACAGCTTCGAATCAAGCCATTTTTTGAAGTTTTGATTTTTGGTTCTCTCTATTTATTTTTTTCTAAAGGGTTGTTTACACCAGTTCAAACTCAAGTAATTAAGGACTAATAACATTCTCTAACCAAAATAACTTTTGCAAGTAACTGCTGTCAAATACTAGGTTAAAAGATTGTAAGTGATTTAGCTTTGATTGGTTTATTATATATAGCTATTTACTAGATAGTTTTTATTTTATTTTGTATGAAGCATTTCATAAATGTTCAAGTAATGTTTTCGAATATTAAGTCTAGAAATGAAAATAATACTAGATTGTTAAATGATAATCCTCAAAATTTTTCAGATTTTATAATGATCTGCTATTAGTTGAATGCCGTAACTGACTATTAAATTCCCTAAGAAATAGCTATATCTAGCAATAGAATCCGACATAATAACAATAAAAAATAACCCTAACTACCATGGAATCGATATGTCGATTCATATCATGCTTGAATAAATGAGATGAATTGTGGGAACTAATTTATTTCTTCATAGGAAGTGATTGGGTCAAAAGATATTGATAATCATTATTTTTCAGAGCATTCATACTATTAATCAGCATATAAATATGGCCATCCATATAAATATTACAGGATTGGTTTAATACTTTTTTATTTATGTTTGGCGGCGCTACGCTCGATAAGGAGGTCTGGCGAATCAAATTTTAAGTTAACTAATTGCAAACTGAAATTTATAATATTTTGTCATTTAAGCCAGACCATTTGAATCAAGTATTTAGTTTGATGCGTAGTATTTTTTATCATTGTGTTTAACAGAGAAATTTCGACGTACTTATGAGCTTTCATGCCTCAAATATTTCCGAAAGCAAATATTGATAAGCGTATTAAAAAGTAAGTCGTTGAAGAAGTTGGCTTAATTAATGCATTAGCTGAGGCATTGGCTTAGGGAAATTTAAGAAATACACATTAAGGTACACATATAAACTAACTTTGTGGTACACATTTTGGAACCTATCAAACGAAGTGCCAATTCTTACCCTTCGGTGCGCCGCCGATGCTTATACTTTTTGTCTGGTTCTATAAAAATTAAATTAAAGTTAATTGAGATTTCCATTGTAGAAAAGTTAATTATCTGCTAATTTTGTTAAGAAAAAAATTAAGTCATAATTACCCACTTAACGAAGAAAATAGAAGAAACCGGCTATTTCATTATAATGGCCTTAATTTAGCAAGAATAAGAAATGAATCCTATTTTTAAGAACTATAATTTAATTTTCACATTGTAAGACACTGTTGAATCCCAATATCAAATGCTTTTAATTTTGAAAATCATTATATAAAGAGGCATGACAGCTAAGACTTTCTAAATTTCGAAGCATTCATGAACAATTCAATTTGTTTAAGTTAAAAAATTAAAAAGTTCCTCAATGACCTTGGGTAGGACCTTTTTTGAATATTTTCAAATAATTATTTCTACGTTATCACCGAACATGAAAAGGACACTGTCCATGGGATTATGACCTTTATTGGTGCCACAATGATCCACCACTCATATGGTTTTTTATATGCTAGTGGTAGTGTTTGCTTTCATTCTTTACGTCAAACCAGGTGACTTAATTCCCTATCTTGAGGGCTATTTTAAAGTAAAACCCGGAGCAACTACATTCTTTACTACTTTTCTTTTTGCTTGTCAAGCGATATCAACTCCTTTTGGTGCTTTGATCTCAAAGAAGATTGGTTTTCGCTGGTCAACAATCCCTTCGATATTTCTAACAATTATTATTATATTTCTAACCATTATTATTGTAGGGACCAATGACAGTACTTCAGATAGAGTGGGCCCTACTTTGGTTCACTTACCCATATGTTACGATGCTTACCGGAATTACTGGCAAAGCCCTCTTTGCAATTTGGAACTTCCTCTTATATTCCTGTCTAGCTGGAAACTTCGCTCTTATCCCTAATTTGGCAACCAGAGTATTCGGACCAAAAAATATGGCAACTATCTTTGGACTTATATTTTCCGCAATGGTAAAAGACATTTACAAAATTGATCGTTTTTGAATAACTGTAGGCTCCAAGCAACCTTATTCTCTCGGGTATTTTCTCCACTTTTGAAATAAGATCATATTGGAAAGAAATCTACTCTATTGGGGGATGTTTCGCCCTAATCGGTTTAGTTCTACTGATATTTGTTCGAGACCCGAATGTCAGCTGTGTTTCTTGCTTCACTCCTGCCATGCGTGCTTGTGACTATTTGCGTATTCCAGACAAAGAAAAAGTCATCCTTAAACAACTGACGGAAGCTCTAAATGGAGGAAAATTCAAAGAAGATATTGCAGCCTAATTCCTTCCATTATTTTATAAATTAACTGTTTGTAATGAACTTTAAAATTAACAGTAATATACAGACACTGAGTTCACTCTTTTTTCTAATCTTGTGCCTCACACCCTTCAGTGAACAAATTTCTAATGCGATTAAAAGTTTTTGGCTTCTATATAACGTCATAATTCAAAAAATGAAACACCGCACGTCTGAATGTCCTATCTATTTAAATGTGGGTCATTTCTCATTGATAAATTAAATTACAAGAAAATATCTCTGCTATTATAAGGGCGAGTGGCAATCATTTCTTTTGAGAAAAATTACATTTTGCTTTTTCTTTATTAACATTATTAGCAATAATAACATTAAAAGAAAATAAAATGAAATTTTATAGCCACTCTTTAAGAAAAAAGTAATAAAATAACGTTGAAAACTCATAATACTAAAAGTAATTAATGCAAACAAGAAGAGAAAGAACTCAATCAATTATCTGACTGTACTGTAATGAAATCACATCTGTGCTCGTTGGTCTATTAGGGCAAAATATTCATTTCTGTACCTATAGTTAAAATGTTTCCTCCTGTTTATCTCATATAATTTCAAAGTTCAAGGGGCAAATCTTAACAAATTGGCCTATTTCACCACCTATCACTTACTTTAATGTTTCTTTATTGGTGAACTAAACAAGGCTGTTGAGTTCTATCTACTGAGCCACGTTATGTTAAACAGTGTTGGGTGTGGGATAGATTTGCCTCCTCGTGGTGCACCCTGGGCAACGTATGATCATACGGCAAAAAAGTCTATTAACCGGCGGTCGACTTCTGACTTTAAAATACCATCATCCTATTATATGTTATATTCGACCCCTACCACAGTACTCATCTTACCCTTTCTGAGCCTTGGTGTCTGTCTGTTTCTTTTATAGCTGTGAATCACTCTTCTCTTCCCCCTCTCCCGAATTCTTCTCATTTCGATGTTCCCCCCCCCCCTCTGTGAAGCTGCACTACTGACGCAAACGTGCAAACGTCATTTCACGGTTTAAGAGGATAAATTCAAATCTTGTCTTCATTTTTGGAATGATCAGTTTAGAAATGTTTAAAGTCCATTTTCAAGAAATGCAACGAAATTCTATAAGATGACTAATAACCAAAGTATTCGTGCAAAATGTATAGAGTGGAGTGAACAGTTTTAACGTTGATTTAAGATGACAACAGTAACTTTCCCGATTTAGTCTTTGTGACACTCTCGAATTCCGGGAAAATAGTCTCCATTCTCAAATAAGCATTTACAAGCTACCTTTATTATCTCAGCACTGCGAGAAAGTGGAACTGAGTTTTCAGTTATAAAGCAAATAAATTTCCTTAATGAAATTTACCTAATTTCGACGAAATTAAATTCGAATTTTAGGCCAACATTGCGATTTTCATCCTTGGTAATTCTGTCGTAAAGAGACCTTTATCCTGTGGCAATTAATTTATTAGAAATATCATTTTGCATGACGCATGATTCTTCAAACTGATCTCTCAAGTTAAGACCAATGACTGGGATTATAATTAGGCTTTTCAAAAGCTTTCTCATGATCTTGCTTCTCTTCTTTTAGAAATGAGAAAATGATGGAGTTAATTAAGACAAAATTTCATATCACGATACAAATAATGATTGCATGGCTCTCATGATGACATTTTACCCTGAGAGGAGGTGGGGGG